GCGTGTTTGGTCTCCTCACAAAATGGAAGTAAAAGCTGCTCTTTCTTGACACCTTCCAACTGCAGAAAGGATTCTAGTGACTGAGAAACCTCACCAAAAAACAACACAGAAAAAAGAGAACACAAAGCAAGGTGAAGTGGAAACGACTCTCTACATGACATCTTTATGAAATAAGAAGCAAGGAGGCAATCTCGCTGCAACCAAACATCCTCTCCAAAATCTATGCTACTCACAGAACTGGTCAACGATAAGGAAGTGACAACAATTCCTGTCCATATCAAGCAACATAACTGGGAACAGAAATGATCTAATCTAATCCAGCACCTAAAAGCTGTCCTCGGCGGAAGGAAAGAAACAGCGGTGTCCATTGGCCGGCAGCAGCAGTTGTAGAAAATGCACAGTCTCCTTTCACGTCCTCAGGCGTTGTAGATCTTACAAAGGTATCCTCCCAAATCTAGTCCGAGGAAAAAAAACGGCAAGAACAAAATACTGTATACCACTGAGACTATTGTTGATAACAGAAACTGCTCCTGAAGACACTGGAATGCTGCTGCTTGGAATGCTTCAGATGGAAACGAGACTGCAGATGAAGAAAAAGACCGCAACTGAAGGAGGTAGGACTGCAGTTGGATGAAGGAACACTGCTACTGAATGATACTAAGCTGCTGTTCAAATAGCCATAGCTGCAAGGAGGGAAGACTGGAAATGCAGATAAAACAACAGCAATTGAAGGAAAGAAGACTGCGGTTGGAGATGAAGCATCTGCAATTGAAGGAAAGGAGACAGCAACTGATACAATTGCATTTGAAGAGGAGAGGACTACAACTGAAGATGAGAAGACTGCAGACGATGGGGACAGGACCACTCTAAGAACAAGACTGCTCACTCCTCCAAGTGCGCAAAAAGACGAATTGAAAAAAGAACTACTCTTGAAGACAGCGGTTCTCCCTAATGACAATATCTACTTATCAAGACAACAAGAAACCACAAAAAAAACTGCTTCTGACGACAATAACACCACAACGAAACACAAAACTATCGAAGGCAAAAGCGCAGGACAGCGACTCAGACAAACAGACTGCGAGAACCTTGCTCTGCTTTCAACAGACTGCAATTCCAATCTCCATGAAGAAAGTTCACGAGGTTTCTGCCATCTGGTGATGCCGAGGGACAAACTGAACTCTCATCTCTGCGACGAGATGCCACACTCTCCACTGCTGAAGAAGCTTGTGTAAACTTTGGCGGTTGGAATGTTCCTCTGAGTTAGTGTTTGTGTAGCGCGGACGTCGAATGAAGTCAGGCCGGGGTACGTGATGGCGATGTGAGCTGTCGACTTTGCGGAAGTTTGCACAGCGCGAATTCTTTTGATAGCGATTCTGCTCCGTCGGACTTTGAGATCGAGTACATTACCTTTGGCTGCAACTATTGCAAAAAAAAAGAAAGAGAAAACGCCTTCCTTCCATATAAAAAATGTCTGGCACTTACGAGGCAAAACTATTCCTTATGCAATTTTGTGCTTTTTTTTTCCAAAATGCTTGAGGTGAGGCAGCTCTTTACTTGAAATCGTCATATTAAACTGCTCCATTACACATTTAACATATGCACGCATACATAGAGACATATGTATATGTATATGCCTATGTATAGTTCCTCGGTCATCTGATACATTACAGATTTTCAAAACTAAATTGTGAATACACATTTCTACGCCGTGCCACTGAGGCAAAACGTAAAGCGATCCTGACTTAGCAAAAAGAGCTAAATGCTTTCGGTCACAGAAGTCAGTGAGCGCTGCGTTGGAGAAATGACCCTCCGTGACCTTGGCGCCAGAGGGCCACCAGAGGGGTGAGGGGGGGGGGGGCGGCAGCGCTTTCCGCCATGAGACCCCATGACACTGAAGGAAATAATTTGATCAAAAGAGAAGTGACGCTCGCACTCTCTTCTCTTGTTGCTGGCCGGCGCGACGGAGACAAATTTTGAACCCGCGAACGGCGCGACGCAGAGAAAAGGTGTCCGCTCCAATTCCGCCGAAAGAACGAGCTGAGACTTACCGGCTTTATGAAATGAGAAATGGTCATGTTGGTTTTAGTTCGATCTTCACTGAGGTCGATCGGTGGGTCGCTCGCAGGAATGGTGATTCGCATCAAAAGCCCTTCGTGTCAGTGAAGACTGGAGTTGAAAAATGTCCTGCAGTTTTCGTGTTTTGTGGAAAAAAATGCGGGTGTGACATAGAATCGTGACACACATACACACATATAACATGGAAATGCATGCATACTAACATCAACACATCCATTTACTAACAGACAGACAGACAGACAGACTAAAAAAAAAAGAACTCCGTGTTGAAATAATCCGTTTTTTTTTCAAAAGTCTCTTCGAAGCGAAAATTATTAATGGAGGCAGAAAACCTGATGAAAATAACAGGCCCCACTCCGTTACGTAGATGAGAGACTCTTAGTGATTTTAGACTGAATAAAAAAAAATTGTAAAATTGTTGACTAGTCTTCCAGCAGCAGGCAGCTCCTCGTCCAGCTGTTCTCCCGCTGCGCTTCCGAAACTTCTTTTGTTTTATACATGAGTCGTAGAACTCGGCGCTGCAGACGAAACTGTTATCGAAAATTATAAAAAAAAAAGTGGGGGAGGAAAAAAAAAAGAGAGAGAAAGAGGAACTTACAGATAGACACAGAAGTCACATCGCTACACACAGAAAGCTGGTCAACATCGTCTTGTATTCTTACCAAGGATAGACATGATGACCACTACGAAGTCGAAGAGATTCCACGGCTCCTTGAAGTAGTGCCAACGGAGAGCGAACACCTTCAAGACACATTCGGAGGTGAAGATGCAGATGAAGACGAGATTCAAGTAGTCGAGCACCATCTTCCATTCCTCGGTCATATTGTAGTGATCCAAAGTCATCGTAAGCATGTTCAGTCCGATGAAAATCATGATGATCATGTCAAACTTCTTGTTGGTCACTATCTCGAACACCACGGCTTGTGGGCGGAACTAAGCGGAAAAGACAAAGAAAATGGGAGGGGTGACTCTTTTAGATTCACGCAAAGGGGGGCTAGGAGAGAGAGAGAGAGAGAGAGAGAGAGAGAGAGAGAGAGAGAGAGAGAGAGAGAGAGAGAGAGAGAGAGAGAGAGAGAGAGAGAGAGGGAGAGAGAGAGAGAAAACAAAATCTAAAGACGCATTAGGAGGAAACAAATAAAAATGAACTCATGTGAAACTTATGTTAATATTAAAAAAAAGAAAGAGAAAATATATACATATACAAAAAAAAAGAAAGTACATAGGTGTACAAATATGTATATATATATCATATATATACACACACATATATGTATATTATATATATATATATATATATATATATATATATATATATATATATATATATATATATATATATATATATAAATATAATTTTATTGATTTGCTAATTTAGTTAAATAAAGCAGTGAGGTTTCCCACAAAGAAAAAAATATAACTGTTTTGAAATTTGACTTTGGTCAAACTTAAAGTAACATCAATTGAACATAAAACACAAACAATCAGTAAATAACATAAACGGAAATTTAGAACCGAAAGAGAGAGAGAGAGAGAGAGAGAGAGAGAGAGAGAGAGAGAGAGAGAGAGAGAGAGAGAGAGAGAGAGAGAGAGAGAGAGAGAAGAGAAGAGAAGAGAAGAGAGAGAGAGAGAGACGAGAGAGAGAGAGAGACGAGAGAGAGAGAGAGTAAGAGTGAGAGCAAGAGAGAGAGCAAGTGAGAGAGAGAGAGTGAGAGAGAGAGAGAGTAAGAGTGAGAGCAGTAAGAGTGAGAGCAGTAAGAGTGAGAGCAGTAAGAGTGAGAGCAGTAAGAGTGAGAGCAAGAGAGAGAGCAAGTGAGAGAGAGAGAGAGGAGAGAGAGAGAGAAGAGAAGAGAAGAGAAGAGAAGAGAGAGAGAGAGAGACGAGAGAGAGAGAGAGTAAGAGTGAGAGCAGTAAGAGTGAGAGCAGTAAGAGTGAGAGCAGTAAGAGTGAGAGCAGTAAGAGTGAGAGCAGTAAGAGTGAGAGCAGTAAGAGTGAGAGCAGTAAGAGTGAGAGCAGTAAGAGTGAGAGCAGTAAGAAGAGAAGAAGAGAGAGAGAGAGAGAGAGAGAGAGAGGAGAGAGAGAGAGAGAGAGAGAGAGAGAGAGAGTGAGAGAGAGAGAGAGAGAGAGAGAGTAAGAGTGAGAGCAGTAAGAGTGAGAGCAGTAAGAGTGAGAGCAAGAGAGAGAGCAAGTGAGAGAGAGAGAGAGAGAGAGAGAGAGAGAGAGAGAGAGAGAGAGAGAGAGAGAGAGAGAGAGAGAGAGAGTTAATGATAAATAGAATAGCGCAAAGGGAACGAAATGACGCAGAAACGTTTCCGACCTCCGACCGAGGGCAAGGGGGGGGGGTGGAGACCTAACGAAATTGACGGAGGGGGGGGGGGAGAGGTGTTGAAAGTCCCTGGTAATAATTGAACGTTTATGGACATGCATTTTTGAGAGGGGATTTGTTCAGTCATCTTCCCCCCCAACTCTGACAAAGTCTGCTATTTTAAACGTCTCTGGGTTATCTAAATTACATATATCCTTGTTGCGCTTCGGGCTTTTAATTACACAAAGCTGAGCTTAATTAAAAGAGGATAAATCACTTAACAGATGCAAGTTGATATATATTTGATTTATGGCAATATCATCTTTACGAGAAAAGCACAGATCGAATTGTTTACACCTGCTATTTAAGCAGAAAAAAAACGTTAGTCGCGTTTATCCTATACAGCATGAAAGCAGACCTTGTTGAAAACTATATTGCTGTGCTTTGCCGTGGCTGAAATAAGCTTTATTTTCGAACGTACTTTTTAAAGGCAGCACATAACCTCGTCCTATGCTTTGTCAATGCACAAGAGGGGCTTACGATCGCATGAACGAGTGTACAAAATGCATGACCTTTAATCAAAACAGCTTTGCAATGTTGAGAAAAGGCATGCACTCTTTTTCGCGTTTTTTATAGTAAAAATTTTGGGTTTTTCATTTTCAAAAGAAGCACTGTACCTGATTGGACATGCAGTGCAGCGATGCACCTATTACAATGCAGTGTTTTTTTCCTGTCTGAATAGTGTATATGTTCAAGTAAACGATGAATGTCCATGATAAAAAAAACGCATATACATCAAGCTGAAAAATGATGCAATTTGAACCGACGCTGAAGAGAGAAGAAAAAAAAAAGTGGGAAAGAGTTTCCTGACAGATGGTGAACAAGTATCGAGTTTATTTTCTTTGTATTTTCCTTTCTTTTGGCTTCAAGCAGGCAGGGCAGAGCAAGAAGGCGAGGAGCTGAGCCTGAGGTAAGGAGGTGCGAGTCAAGCTTATTATTTTCCAGTAAGCAGAAGGCCCGACGACCACCTCACGCGAGGGGACGGAGGCCACTGTCCCTTCGCAGGACGGAGCGCGGCTGGGCTGTGGTTGAGGTGGGGATGTTGCGGTGGGTTGTGGTGGCGGAGGAGGAGCGGTCGTGGTAATGGTGGTGGAAGAGTGGTGATGGTGGTGGAGGAGTGGTGATGGTGGTGGAGGAGTGGTGATGGTGGTGGAGGAGTGGTAATGGTGGTGAAGGAGTGGTGATGGTGGCGGAGGAGTGGTGAAGGTGGTAGTAGTGGTGGCGGAGGAATGATTGAGGAGCGGCAGAGGAGTAGTGGTGTTGGTGGTTGAGGGGATGGTAGAGGATTGAGGGAGTGGTCACTTTTTTGGGGTGAAGGGAAGTGATGACGGAGTTTTTTTTTTCTATGATGGTGATTTTGCTTATTTTTTGTTGTTGGTGTTGCTGGGTTACACACCATTACTGGTGAAAGCCGCAAGGGTAGCGGGTGATGTGACACTAATGGTAACAAAAAACAATAACAACAAAAAATAACAACAACTGTGGTGATGTATGCACGAGCTGTTAAACAAAAGTGATGACATGACATAAGTAAAAGGTAGTGTCAGAAAAAAATAGTGTTAATGAGAAAAGGTTTGCAAATTTGCCGATCAATTAAGCGGATGAAATGATGTAGCAGTTAGTGGCTTAACTTAAGTTGTGAGTAAATTTTGACATTCATAAGATAAAAAACATGATTTTAAGGAAGCAAAAACAGTGTATGTGTGTGTTTTTTGACAAACAAAAGCAAACATCATTACACAATTTGAAATAAGGGTGATATTTGCATGAAGGCTATGAGAGGACAGCTGTAAAGGAATTTGGGTTAATGAAGAGGGGAAAACCTACGCAGGAGGTATAATGAAGACACGATAATACCTAATTCTAAACTAGAACAAGGGACCAAAGTGATGTGAAATTTTGACATTTGGAAACTCAACTGACTACTGGCTACTGACTGTTATGAAAATATGCCATTCGTTTTTCTTTTTCTACGAAAGCTAACATAGTATACTATTGTATCACAGGGGAAACATCTTCAGTGCCTCTAAGGGGAAGAATGATAAAGGACTTTTGAATCAGAGGAGTTTGAGGCCTAGTAAGCATTAACTCCGACACTAACATTAACACTATACACCTAACGAGGGAGGGAAAGAGGCTAGGGAGAGAGGGTGGTTCAGGAACACCACTACAAGGAATATTGCTGTGATTCTGTGCCATGATCAACAGGTTATAAATTGGGGCAGTGGACAAGGAGGTTTAATATGTACATTTTCTGTGCATGATCTAAGGACAAGGATGTAAGTATGATATTAAGGATATGGACTTATTTTTCTATATGAGTCTACTTAAAGGGAGCACTATTTTTTTTTTTTTTTGGTTTGTTTTCCTCAAATTGCTGTTGATCTTGAGTTGGTTTCAAGAAGGCCAGAGCGACATTCAAGGAGCCTGCAAACACTGCCAGAACTGTTCATTAGTAAGATGATGATGAAGCGATGAGGCAGAAGGCGGCACACAGGTGAAAAAAGGGAGTATGTCATGGAGGATGGCGTATGCGGTAGACACAAATATGTCATTTCTTCTACATTGAGGGGAAACATACGATACTTCTACACTGAGGAAAAAAACGCAATTTCTTCTATCCAGAGGGGAAACAAGTGTATTTTCTTCTACATAATTTACTCTGCGCATAGGGGAAACAAGCTTATTTTCTTCTAAAAGGAAAGGAAAAAAAAACTACAGTTTCTTCTGCTATGAGGGAACACACACGAAATGATATAGAGAGGTATCTTGTTTCCCAGGGATATTTCACTCGTACAAATGAATTACAGAATACATACAAATGAATCTATAAATTACAGGTACTGTATTTAGCCTAGGATTTGGGGGACGTTTTCGAAATACAACAATCTCTACACGACGATGAAAAGAGAGAAAAAAAGCAACAATAAACCTTATATTTACAATACAGTGAGTGACCATTTCTTTAACCGACACTTGAAATAGGTAGAAACAAGCACATGTAAAATCATAAACACACAATAATATAGTGAATATATGATGATAAAATAAAGCGTCAGATAATATACTGTATATGATAAAATAAAGTCGTTTAAAGAAATGACACCGCCAGCTTAAGAGATGACGGGAGGGGATAAAAGGGTCAGGAAAAAGGGGGGGTGGGGGAAAGGAAAAAGGAGAGAGAGAGACAAAGTTAGGAAAACGGGAGAGGAATTGAGATGACACACATTTCCCTCAAATCGCTCTGCTGACTAGAGAGTGATGGAGTTTGCGGGGAAGAGAGCGTAAAGAGGAAGAGGACAACGAAGGAAGGAAGGAAGATAGGCCGAGAGACAACCTTACTCAAAGCAACCAAATACCTGTGGTCTTGGAATAGCTTTCAAGGGCTTTTTGGAACCCATTTTCTTCATGGCGTTGTAGTATTTCTTCTGATCGTCCGTCATGAACATTTCGAGTGAGCCTCCTGCGTGGATATTCCAAAAAAAGAGACAAATACGCGATCAAATGCATTGTTAGAGGCACGTGGATATAGTTAAGCGGATGAGGCTGAACTAAATAACAAAGAAATCTGAGAGCATTTTAAATAAGAGAAAAAAAAAGAAATAGGGAAAGAAAATGGGAAAACGGAGTGATCAAAGAAAAACAGAATATTATTTCGATGTGCATATTATTGTAATCCATTACTTTGCTCATGTTCTTTCTCTAAAACGATCAAGTTTACAAACAAGAAATAATTTTTAAAACTGAATCTTCAAGATACCAAAGAACAAATGAAGAATAGATAATAATAACAAGGGAGACAAAAAACGGGAAAAGACAAACTGACGCGAAAGTAAGAGGGGCAACTAAACTAAACGAGATTCGGAGATACTCCACGTTAAAGGTACTTATCTTTTTCTTCTGTTCATTGAAGTTGTCGATGATGACACCGATGAAGAGGTTGAGGGTGAAGAAAGAGCCAAAGATAATGAAGAACACGAAGTACAAATACATATAGATGTTGTGCTCACGCCGAGGTTGTTGTTCCAGCTGTTAGGGAGGTCAAGTCAGGTCACGGTTAGTTTTCGGCAGATGGTTCTGGTTATCTTAAAAGTGATGTATTGGAATTCATAAAGAGGGAGTTGGAATTGTGGTGATCATTTTGGGAAATTTTCTGGGGGTGGGGGTGATGCACACTCGTACATACTGGGCGCACACGAAAAAAGGGGAAAGTGATGGGAAAATAACTCTACTGTATGGTCTATACATAAAGTAATATATGATACAATATATGATACATACGTACACGCACTCTCGCACACATAAACACAAAGACTGAAAAAAAATATATATAACATTACTGCTAGTCATAACACAATCACAAACCAATAACCAATATCCCCCCCACACACGACCCCCCCTTCCCCTCCCACACCCACACACGCACACCGATCCCCTACACCCACACCCACACGCACACCAATCCCCTACACCCACATACAAAAAAACAAACAAACAAAAAAACGGTGCCACGCATAAGAGACCTGAGTGGCATCAATGGCGTCGTTCATGATCTGGATCCATCCCTTCCACGTGGCCACCTGGAATAGCGCGAGGTACGCCATGCCCACGTGGTCGAAATGCACCTCGCTGTTCTCCCACGTATAGTTCAACCTGATGCAGTTTGATTTGTCGGGCACTTCCTCTGCGCTCACCCTCACACTATCAGCGTTAAGACACTGGGGGGGAAGAATGGGGGAGAGAGATTAGTTGAGGATGGGGTTGAATGGGGAGGGACTACATGGGTAGAGAGGAGAGAGAGAGAGAGAGAGAGAGAGAGAGAGAGAGAGAGAGAGAGAGAGAGAGAGAGAGAGAGAGAGAGAGAGAGAGAGAGAAAGAGAGAGAGAGAGGGATAGAGAGAGAGAGAGGAGGGAGGGGTAGAAAGTTAGAGGTAGATAGATAGATAAATAGATAGATTGATAACAGATATATTGGGAGAGAGAGCGAGAGCGATGCTCAGTGATTGGAGTGGAGTCACTGGAAATTCGATTTCAAAAGAAAAAAACAAGATTCCGATCTAATGTCTATTCTATATTCATCCGTCTATCTTTCTGTCTATATCTAACACTCTACGTATTCAATATAAATAAAACGCCCGGCCTACCTTATAGCGGCAACCTACACCTGACGAAACCTAAACAAGAGAAGATCGCTTTCCGTGACGAAAAACGGGCAATACGATTACACAAACGATACCAAGAACAACAAAAAAACAACAACATCAATAACACTCACCTTGTGGTACCTGCCGTTGAAGAGTTGCACGCCCATGATTGCAAAGATAAGCCAGAAGATGAGGCACACGAGGAGCACATTTACGATCGAGGGAATGGCACCCACGAGAGCGTTCACGACGACCTGGGAGGAAACGCGTAAGAGGATTTGAGCGGGAAAAGCGATCGTCTTTTTTTTTTTTTTTTTTTTTTTTTTTTGTCTAATTCTATGTGTCTATGTTTATTGATCTATCAGTCCATCATTCATTGCTCTAAATTTCTATGGAAGGTTAACAGAATATTCAAA